CCCCTTTTTAACTTTGAGCACCCGCCCCTTTAAACCTCTCTGCACGGCCCTGCAGTTATGCAAGGTGTCCCTTTGGCAACAGGGCTCGATGCACCCGGTTATAGCGTCAAAAAGACACAGCTACTACCCCATACTCATCATTTTTCAATGTTACGTTTTTGAAGGAGAACATCTGAACCCAAACTACAATTTTTCCTAACCCTAACAAAGTAGCTTTTAACACTAAGCTTACACTAGAGAATAAAAAGAAAAGAAGCCAGGGCATGGGAAAAAGCAAAAACAAATGCAAAAAACAAATATCCAAACATAACAGGCCATGATCTGCCACCACCCCTACAGCCACTTAGTAGTAGTTCTCTGAAACTGGGCAGTTGTCTCCTGGCAGCCAGTATTACTAAAAAACAAAAAACACCTTGTACCTAAGGATGAGAGGCAGCCAGCATCTGAAAAATGAACAAGCATTAACGACGCATTGATTTTTGTACAGAGGGAAGAAAAGAAATTGGATCACTTGTCAAGTCTCTGTAAACTGTGTTGTCAACTGCTACATAGCTTCAATAGTGTCTTTCAGCATAATCAGTGTGTCTGTGGATCAAATGCTTGGTTGATGCTGAAAGTCTCTGAAAAGTGACTCCAGTCTCTGTCTGAACACGTGAGCAGCGACTGTGGATTTGGCAGCTTTAAATAACAGAATTCCTCGGTCACGTCTCCAGTGTCGAGCAGGAGCAGGGGTAACGTGGCATCATCAGCCCGGTCTCAAAAGAGGTTGTAGGGCTCACAAGATGGGACAGAAAAACCCTTCATCAGGCTCCAGCTCCTCCTACATATCCATCAGGTCTCAAAGTACTTGTAGATCTGGGAGACGTACTGCATGACGCTCTGCCAGTCTGGCCTGTCGGTCTTCATCAACTCCTTAATGTCCTGTTTGGGACAGAGATAGGTGTGAATGAACAGCAGTTTGGAAGTTGAGTGTAGTTAAGGAATGACGTTTCATTTTCAACAGTGCTACCAACAGGCCAAGCAGACACAATTTTTATAAGAAAAGTTTGTATTTGTCTACATGTCAGCATTAAAGTGTATTAAATGGGTGGTAATTATTTCTATGAAATCTAAATGTCACATAAATATAAGTGCTTCCTGAAAAGTCTTCAGTTGATCCAAGAGGCTGCAGTGAGAGTACGGACAGGATATTTAAAAGTAGAATGGGAGGCAGGGCCTTCAGTCCCTGTTGTGTAGAACCAACTCCCAGTTTAAATTTAGTAAACAGGCACCTTCTCTACTTTTAAAATTAGACTTAAACACTTTTTCTTTTTGATAAAGCATATAGTTACTTACTAATGCTGCAAAAGGCCGCGGCTGCTGTGGGACTTCCCATGATGAGTGTTTCTTCTTCACTCACCTTTTACACTCACTATGTGTTTTATACACAACTCTACATTTAATCATTAGTTATTATTAATCTCTGACTCTCTTCCACAATGTGTTTTTCATCCTCTCTCCTGAATTCCCCAACTGGTCGTGGCAGATGGGTGACCCTCCCTAAGCCTGGTTCTGGTTGGAGGTTTCTTCCTATTAAAAGGGAGTTTTTCCTTCCCACTGTCACCAAGCGCTTGCTCATAGGGGGTGGTATGATTGTTGGGGTTTCCCTTACAATATAAAGCCCCTCGAGGTGACTATTTTTGGTGTATTTTTGGCACTATGTAAATAAAACTGAATTGAATTGCAGCAATCCTCATTTTATTATAAAACTCATATCTTGGAGCTTTTAGTGTTTAAGTGTGATATCTGAAGAGAGACAGAGCAGACAGAGCAGAGTGTCTGTGACAAGTTGTTTAGTTTAATTTTTTTCTGTTTGCGACGGCGAAAACTGAAAAAGAAAATGAAAACTGAGAACACTGGTTTAAGTCGCGTTCATCAGGTTGGCTGTAGAGGATATTTGACTTCATTATTGAGTTACTGTATGCATTTCCCGAATAATGTTAATGAAATCTGAAGATGGACGTGGTGGAAAATTGGGTCATTTTGAGGGCAGTTCGCAAAATATAAATCTACAGCGTAATGAGTCTCCAAGCAGCTGTCAGTAGTCAGCTGCTTGGAGACACCGGTGACTCAAACAGCGAACGAGGCTTTCACATGACTCCACATCGAGCCGCTCCCCTTAGCTCAGATTTACAGAGAAGCTTCGTGATGTCTCAGCCTCCTAAAGGCAGGATGAGAAATATCCTCCTGGGCCGTTTATAAAGGATTAATTAACACTGAAAAAAACATCAGCAGAGACTACCAGATAGGATGCAGCTATTTATTTGTTTATAGTGTTTTCAACTGACGGACATGGGAATAACTTTTCTGTATCCAAGCTTGGAACCACAAGCATGTAATGGAGACTGATTAGACAAAGTAATGTGAACTTTAGCCTCAGTGCTCCATTTATGCCCAATTCACTTCATTACTGAGGTCCAGCTCTTGGTGTGTGTTTACATCAGAATTCAGTAGTTCTGGTAAAGCTTATTCCCACAGGCTGCCAAACTTCAGTTGATTACTTCAGCAAAGCCACTAATTTTTTGTCCTGGAAGAAATGAAACTTGACCTGGTTAGCATTAAACTCTTTATGTGTCAACACACTTCAAGCTGATGACGTTTGTGTTTAGAGTACCATATACGCATGAAGGAAAAAACATGGCAAAAAGCCCGAAAGCACACAAACTGTACACACCTTAGTGATTGTGTGTGTGTGTGTGTGTGTGTGTGTGTGTGTCTGTGTGTGTGGGTGTGTGTGTGTCTGTGTGTGTGGGTGTGTGTGTTTAGGAATAACTTGGGTCTATGACCAATGGAATGAGTTAGTCTTTACATGTGGCAGTAACACTCATAACTAAAATATTTGATTTATCCCAAAATATAGTCAGAGAGAGAAGTCGTCTTCTTCGAAAATTGATCGGTTTTGATCATTTCGTAAGGACGATTTCTAAAACAGTGCTGTTGTTTTGCCTCCGTCTGTGCTTTCGTGTGGGTAAGCCTGCATAGGGAAGAAGACGTCACTCACATCCGCTGCAGAAAACAAACTTTAGACATAACATCTTAGCCAAAACGGGATTATGATTTTTTTTCCCCCATTTTGCAAGGCCTAAGGTTTATCTAACCAACTGAATGAATAAGATTAGCCGAGTTTGTGAGAAGTATTGACATTCCCGTACACAGTGACGAAGGAGGTTTTTTCCCAAATTAATAATTTGCAAGCTTACAGAGAAATCAAGGTTAAAAATGTTCATTAAAGTAGTAGTTTAATACTTTAATACCTCAAACAAACCTCCCAATTAATGGCTCAGCTACCCACACAGTACTTCCTTTGTCTCACAACTGAAAGTGTTCAGTCTGCATCAGTCAGCCACAAGATTAAACCCACAGGTAAAGCAAGTGATATCAATCACCTTGCAATGTTCTTGTTCTTACAATGTCCCAAGCAGACATCCTAAAGGGACTCCTACAGAAGCCCAACATTGGCCTGCATAGACATTATTATTCCACAGCAGCCACAGTGATATGAAATATTAGATAAACACTGGCATTAAAAAAGGCTGTGTATCGTGACTAACACCTGTGTTTACCTTATATTTTCCATTACAATGGCTGTTGTAAAAAAGCTCTTTGTCTTGAAGTTCAGATGTTGATTCAGATGTTAAGGCCACCCTGGGTGACCTGTAGTACCCTAAAGGTGATCACTTCGTTATTGATTTATATGTATACTTGTACTTTTGTTTCTTACAAAATGCACATAGAACTGGTTTAGCCTGGGCTTAAAAAAAAAATATCAGGAATGGCGTTCCTCCAGTTTAAGGAGTACTCACATATGATAAATCTCAGTTTAATAAATAATACCAAGAGATTTCATTTTTCATGTGGTGCAGCCTGGCATTGCTTTAGACTGGGTGTGAGCACGAAAGTTGTACCTTTTCTCTGGTAGCTAATTTAAAGTGCAACATTTCAGTGGGTGCAGGAAATAACACCAAACACACAAAGTGTTTCTGTGCAGTTTCTATCACAGTGTGTCTGCAGGTTAAAGGTCCAGATGCGGGGCGGGATCAGTGTCTGATAAATCCACTCTCAGATGGAGAAGGAGCTAAGGAAGGGAGGACATAAGAGACTGAATGATACTAATTTTGTGTTATTTAAAGCTCAGACTAGGCAGTTAGGGCAGAATTGGGGTGAAGTTTATATAACCCCCAACTTCAAAAAAGTTGGGATTCTGTTTAAAATATAAACAAAAACAGAAGGCAGTTACAATTCTTGTAGTAAAAGACACATTTTATTCACAATAGAACACAGAAAATATATCAACAGTTTAAATAGAGAAAATGTAAGAAAAAAATAAGGTAATTTTGAAGTTGAGGGCAGCAACACACTTCAAAAAACGTGAAACATGAAATAGGGACATGTTTCTCACTGACATCATCTCCTCTTCTATCAGCAACAGACTGTAAACTAGAGATGGACCGATCCGATATTACGTATCGGTCCGATACTGACCTAAATTACTGGATCGGATATCGGAGAAAAATAAAAAATGTAATTCGATCCATTAAATATCACGAAAGCACCTCACAAAACTTGCAACACGCCGTAACTCACCT